GGTTCTCTGGAGACAACATCTCCATATTCCTTCAACAAAGGAAAATAAGGATCCCAATGGTCCTTCAGGATCTGCGATCCACTACGCGCATTCAGCGCCTTCTTGTTATCCTCAAGAACTTCTTTATCCAAAAACTATAAGGAGTTCAACTCCTCCTCAGGTCGTATGACGACCACTTCAGCGATGTTGCCTGCATGTAAGGCAATGGCAAACAGGGCAACTCGTCCAGCTCTAACAAAGCACTTATTGTGGGTATAGCTGAAAAAGCCACCGGCTCTTCAACATCCCCGGTCAAAACATTGACAAGTGTATATAGCTGCTCGCTACTACCGTCACTCACGATGTTATAATCGCTACTCATGATGCTCTCAGCATCCAACGCATCAGCGTCTACAGGTGTACACACCTCAAGGTCAAAGACTACTTCATTTACTGACTGCATCCCACCCTCCTGGGTCAATGCCTCGTCATAAGGTGTTTGCACCTCGTTGTCCTCAAAAACAACCGTCACTCTTGACTTCACCCGACCCCCATGGACCAGTACCTCGTCACTAGGTGCTTGCACCTCGTTATCCTCAACATCCAATGATGACTTCACCCGACCTCCAGGGTCAGTACCTCACCTTTAGGTGCATGCACCTCGTTGTCCTCAAAGAAAAAATCCATTTGTGACTTCACCCGGCCCTCCAAAGTCAGTTCCTCGTCACTCATGTCACTTAGACTCACGTACTGACATCTTGGCTTGCAGCCACCAACAACACTCACGGCGTTTAATGATGTAACAACATTCTCATGATACATTTGTGGTGGAGTGGGTTCTTAAGACTGCGTAATGAGACCCCAAGCCACTCACTGTGCCTGACTGCCGACTGTCGGAGGGGGTACTCTGATGCCGCGTATAGACCTTCTCTCACCTTGTGTACCCGTCGGCTGGCGGGTTGCACTCTTCGGAGGACTTGGTTGAGATGTGGTGTCGGCCTTGAGAGAGGTCGACCTTGGGGGGGCCTCGAGTGGGTATGCTTCACTCGGTAGGCGGATAGGTTGCCACTCGGTCGACTAAGTCGAGGGTGGACTTATAAACAAATTCTTCAGGGGATATACTCAACCCTGGCCTTTTCCTTCCTTGATGTCTCAGGGGTGTTAACCGCCTGGCCTTTACTTGCCCACGAACCAATAGGGTAGGGAGACCGCTTCCGATAGCGAGTTGAGCTGGGGAGGGGTGCTACTCGGACGAACCCACAGGCCAAAGGTATCCTGGGGTTCTATTCGCACTTGGGTCTTATCACACAACTGTCTTCGACGGGGGGGCCAAAATATATCCCTTTCCGGAACAGGTGGGTAGACTTAGTAGGTATCTTGGAAGCACGACGGAGGTGTGCTATATAGATCGCAAATTGAGTAGTATTTAATGTGGTACTATCTTTTAACTTCTTTACTCTATCCTTACCCCCGAGACTTGATTCTTGATTCTGCTTGTCGAGGGACCAAGGGACCAGGGTCCACCACGAAAGACCAGATCTACCAACAAAACAACCTCGAAAAAGACTGGGGTCCACCTCGAGGGAATGCGTTCAATCAGACTAACCGTGGCTATCTCCTTTGAATGGAGCACGCTTATCTGTACATTCTTTACATCCAACGGTCGTCCCCCGTCCCTTTTCAAGCGTCTCGTCTCTCTATCCTTTACCTAACGGTCGCTCCTCCTTGGGTCCCCGTCTCTTTGACCCACCGGTCTTCTGGCCTACCAATTCTTGAAACGCTTCACCACAGCCGCCCTCTGCACTTGATCAACGGTACAGCCGCTTGAACACGCGCATGTCCTCGAATCCTCCATCCCGTAAGCACTCCTTGTTTGTGTGGCCGTTCTATATACGTTATCTGGCTAGACGCATCTCAGCTGTTCCTTCCTCTGGGGTAGACCCAACGGCCGAGGGACCGGTCTTGGACATTCCTGTCCTTGCCGTTGACCCAGAGGCTCAGATTTCCTCCTAACACCGACCGACAATTCTCTCCAGGTGCCTGGGACAAGGGAGTCTACCGTGGTTCCTTCTGAGGTCGTAGGTGGTGAGGGTTCCCAGACGTGGATGACCCTCAGTCGACCTCTGCTGTGGTGGACCCCGCGCATCAGGTGCTACGCGATCTGCAAGACCGTTTAGATTATATAGCTGACGACTTGAGGTGTGCGAGAGTCGACCTACCGCCGTCCTCAGCCCCGACGCCTACTGGATCACCCGGTGTGAGCTCCTCGAAAGAGAGCTGCAAGACACCGCCGCCTCGTGGTTCAGTTGCGCGAAGAACTTCAGCAAGAGAGGTCGCTGGCGGAGAATTTGCGGTGGCGGATGGACTACCGCCAGAGCCGCTACGCCCTTATGGTGGCGGAGTTGGGGCAAAAAGACTGCCGCACGAGTCCCTTACAGGATCTCGCGGCTCCTCCCATGACTGCTCCCATGGTACCTCCCACCGCGGCGGTGGGTAAACGACCTCGGCGTTTCCCGGCCAAGGCGACCGCTAAGGTCCCCAAGGCCGCCAAGTCCAGCACCTCCAGTACTCCCGCCTCGTCGGCGCCCAAGTCGGGCCCCCCAAGGGTCCACCTTTGGTAACCTCTCCAGAACGTGATGATGACACCGCGAGAGAGGACAGTGAAGTGGTACGGGTGACCTTGGCTCGATCGCGGTCCTCCCGGCGTCGTAGTACGCCTACCGACCCACCGCTTCCAGCTGTCTCCGATGACTTATCTCATGACCGGTCGCCCAACCCCGTTCAGGATTAATCCGCGCCATGTTTGGGTCCTCGGACTCTGAGGTCGAGTCGGTCCCGGGAGAAGACGCTTCAGCCCCAGTCACCAAGGAGTACTCTTCCCCAGGAAAGTCACTCAAACTCCCGAAGGGTGACTTCATCTCTGGGTATTTGCAGGTGAAGTTCTTCACTGCAGCGGAGGTAGAGCCCTGGTCGGCCGACATGGTCAGCTCGCTGATTGTCGTGACGAGGACCCCCAGCGACTTGGTCGACCGCCTGGGGTTGCCTTGGGGCTGGTTTGGTCCACCAGATGGGAAGGTCGATCGACTTGCCAAGTGGAAGTTGTCGTTGGTCAACTCCTCGATGCTCAAATAACCTCTTAGCTGCCCGCCCTGGGTGTCAGCTCGAGTATCGACCCCCCCTCCCGTATCCTTCCAACCGGTGGGCTGGTTCGCAGAGCTGGGGATAATTACTTGCACTTTGATGAAGACCACAGCCAGGCGATCTGGGAGGCCTACCACTGCTTGTGGCTCTCAAAGGACCAAGCGCGCTCCAGCTCCTTCCTCTCTTCGTACTACAACGCCCGGAAGAAACGACGGGGTCGTGAGATTTGGGCGTGGCGAGGGGTGGTCTACCTACTCTTCAAGGGGATGAGTGACGGTCGGTGCGACCTCAACATCCTGCTCGATCCCTTCCGGTACCTTCCCCGACCTCGCTGTGTAGTATACTGGTTCCCAGGGTGCGAGGAAGGGTAAGATCCCGCCGACCTGCTGGACGCCGTGAGGGTCTTAGACTCCACTTACCCATGGAACTCCTAGTACCGACTTTCGTCCGAGCCCATCCTGGTGCCGCGTCTCCGGGACAAGTTCGTCCCTAAACCGTACGCGTTTCCGTAATATACTTGCGCCCATCTTTTTCAGTCTCTGTCTTGAATATCTGTTTCTCCATTTCCTTCAAACCTTGCGCCACTTTGTTTTCTTTACCACCCCATGCCAAAAACCCAACGTCTACTAACGAAGTACCGAGGACCGCCTCGAAAAGACCGGGGTCCACCTCAAAAGACCAAGGTCTACTAACGAGGGACCGGGGTCTAACAACTATAGACTTTGGTCAACCGTCTACGATCCTCGGTTTCGGCCTCTATTCCTCATAATTCTGCATCTCTTCGAAACAATTCCTCCTTGTCTCCTTGCGTTCAAAATCCCGAAGTAAGCCTCCACAATTGGAATCCACTTTATCCACCCACGAGGAGTCTTCGTACCCTTTCCATCGGACGAGGAGCTTTCGTTGCTGTCTTCCATAAACGTGTTTTCTTTCCAGTGCGGGCTTCCAAAATCTCCTCGACCTCGTTATACTCTCCTTCTTCCAGCTCTCTTGCTCAACTGCCCTCCGGCAACAGGCATTCATCGAAGTCGACCCAATCTATTCTGTCCGTCTCTAACGCGGCGCTCGGTCGGTCGGGGAACTCTATAACCCTCTTGAGTTTGGATAGATATACCACAGGGAATAGCCTGTAGGATTCGGTGATAGGTACGTCCAACCCTTGGTGACCTCCTTCCAAACTGGTGTGGTAGTGGTGCAGGGCGTCGGCTTGGAGACTTTCGAGTATCACTAGTCTAGCCGTTACCTCTCGGTCGTCTCCCTCGACCTTCTGACTGGAACAATACAATAATAATCCCCCCTTCACTTACTCTCGTAGTCCCTGGACATCTTACTGCACGATTGGGCGGTCTCCGTGGGTAGTTCAACCCAATCTACCTTCAAGTAAGCCTTCAGATCTCGCACCCAATCCTCTTGCTCCTGGGCCTCCCTGATTCGATCCGTCCGGAGTCGTTCTATACGCCCTCTTGCTGGATTTACCCTGACACCTTGATTGAATGTTGAGATCAAGTAATCGCAAGCACCTTGGCCGATGGACTTTGGTCCTTGGGAGCTAGTGATTCTGGCATCGATCAATTGCTTCCAAAATCGGCCATTCCCTTCCGGTATAAACTTCATGCCTTCCTTCTGATGCAATTCTGTGCTGGTCAAGTGGTCGGCGCTCTAATTCCAATCACGTTTTACGTGCACGAATCCTTGGGTGGGCCATTACAGCAGCTTATTTAAAGCTCTTGCTCGTAATGGGGACAATCTTGAAGCGTTACAATCGATCCCCCCCCGCATTTGTCGTACCACCAAGTTGGATTCTCACAGATGATCAGTCGCCGTCGTTTTAAAGGCTCTAACAGGTTGAAATCCAGTCGCATACCCTCATACTCGGTCTCATTCACTGTAGAGGTGGTAAGGAATTCCGAGGCATGACTATGGTCCAATTAGGTAATCTCCAAAACATAGTGCTACAGGCTCCACCTCCCTGTTTCACTCGAGCCAACCCATCAAAACTCATAACGTATAACTCTTTTTCAGGCTCCACAGCTGGTGTAGGTAGGTCAACCACTTGCCGTGCCTGTTTCTTGGGGGCGATTGACGACAAAATCGATTACACACTTTCACGAGGAGTAATACTGGCTGCGAGCGCCCCCAGAACTTGGTCCTCGCCAGTCTTGTATATGACAATCTCCATAGTCCATTAGGACAAGAGGGCAGCCTAATTACCAAGCCGTCCCTGTAAGCCCGTAGACCTGCCTAGCCACGCCAATGTAGAATGCCTCGTCAGGACCTTGAGGGGTCGGGTGACCAACATCGTAAGACAAGTTTTCATTATCCGCAGTAAAGCTAACGCTTCTTTCTCCACCGTACTGTAGCTCAACTCGTTGGTCATAAGGCTCCGACTCGTAAAAGTCACCAGCATTAGAATGCCACCATGGTCTTGGACCAACGACGCGAATATGGCCCATTCACTTGCATAAACGATTATTACTGCCTCCTTAGACGAGTCAAAGGGTGCTGTGACAATCTTATTATTGAGCATAGAGAAGGCTACTTGGGCCCTGGACAATTTACTCTCGTCCTCGTCCTCTGCCTTAGCCACCCCACTGTTTATTACGACTCCGGGAGGACCGCGATCGAGCCAAGGTCGCCCGTACCACTTCACTGTCCTCTCTTGCGGTGTCATCATCACGTTCCGGAGAGGTTACCAAAGGTGGACCCTTGGGGGGGCCGACTTGGGCGCCGACGAGGCGGGAGTACTGGAGGTGCTGGACTTGGCGGCCTTGGGGACCTTAGCGGTCGCCTTGGCCGGGAAACGCCGAGGTCGTTTACCCACCGCCGCGGTGGGAGGTACCATGGGAGCAGTCATGGGAGGAGCCGCGAGATCCTGTAAGGGACTCGTGCGGCAGTCTTTTTGCCCCAACTCCGCCACCATAAGGGCGTAGCGGCTCTGGCGGTAGTCCATCCGCCACCGCAAATTCTCCGCCAGCGACCTCTCTTGCTGAAGTTCTTCGCGCAACTGAACCACGAGGCGGCGGGTGTCTTGCAGCTCTCTTTCGAGGAGCTCACACCGGGTGATCCAGTAGGCGTCGGGGCTGAGGACGGCGGTAGGTCGACTCTCGCACACCTCAAGTCGTCAGCTATATAATCTAAACGGTCTTGCAGATCGCGTAGCACCTGATGCGCGGGGTCCACCACAGCAGAGGTCGACTGAGGGTCATCCACGTCTGGGAACCCTCACCACCTACGACCTCAGAAGGAACCACGGTAGACTCCCTTGTCCCAGGCACCTGGAGAGAATTGTCGGTCGGTGTTAGGAGGAAATCTGAGCCTCTGGGTCAACGGCAAGGACAGGAATGTCCAAGACCGGTCCCTCGGCCGTTGGGTCTACCCCAGAGGAAGGAACAGCTGAGATGCGTCTAGCCAGATAACGTATATAGAACGGCCACACAAACAAGGAGTGCTTACGGGATGGAGGATTCGAGGACATGCGCGTGTTCAAGCGGCTGTACCGTTGATCAAGTGCAGAGGGCGGCTGTGGTGAAGCGTTTCAAGAATTGGTAGGCCAGAAGACCGGTGGGTCAAAGAGACGGGGACCCAAGGAGGAGCGACCGTTAGGTAAAGGATAGAGAGACGAGACGCTTGAAAAGGGACGGGGGACGACCGTTGGATGTAAAGAATGTACAGATAAGCGTGCTCCATTCAAAGGAGATAGCCACGGTTAGTCTGATTGAACGCATTCCCTCGAGGTGGACCCCAGTCTTTTTCGAGGTTGTTTTGTTGGTAGATCTAGTCTTTCGTGGTGGACCCTGGTCCCTTGGTCCCTCGACAAGCAGAATCAAGAATCAAGTCTCGGGGGTAAGGATAGAGTAAAGAAGTTAAAAGATAGTACCACATTAAATACTACTCAATTTGCGATCTATATAGCACACCTCCGTCGTGCTTCCAAGATACCTACTAAGTCTACCCACCTGTTCCGGAAAGGGATATATTTTGGCCCCCCCCGTCGAAGACAGTTGTGTGATAAGACCCAAGTGCGAATAGAACCCCAGGATACCTTTGGCCTGTGGGTTCGTCCGAGTAGCACCCCTCCCCAGCTCAACTCGCTATCGGAAGCGGTCTCCCTACCCTATTGGTTCGTGGGCAAGTAAAGGCCAGGCGGTTAACACCCCTGAGACATCAAGGAAGGAAAAGGCCAGGGTGAGTATATCCCCTGAAGAATTTGTTTATAAGTCCACCCTCGACCTAGTCGACCGAGTGGCAACCTATCCGCCTACCGAGTGAAGCATACCCACTCGAGGCCCCCCAAGGTCGACCTCTCTCAAGGCCGACACCACATCTCAACCAAGTCCTCCGAAGAGTGCAACCCGCCAGCCGACGGGTACACAAGGTGAGAGAAGGTCTATACGCGGCATCAGAGTACCCCTCCGACAGTCGGCAGTCAGGCACAGTGAGTGGCTTGGGGTCTCATTACGCAGTCTTAAGAACCCACTCCACCACAGACGGTTTACCCGGAAGACTTCCGTTCTGGCAACGCCAACTCGGAAGCCCTCCATGAAGACCGTGAACTGCCTCAGGCATAGGGTCTATGACCATGGCAGCAATGAGAGTTCTCAACTTTTGTACATATGCCGCAAGCTTACTCTTGCCTTGGCGACACACCAAAAACCGCGACCGATTTCGGTGTGCTTGACTTGGCGGTGCATACTGCCGGGTCATCTGAACTTTCACATCGGCCCATGTTAAGAATACATCTTGCAGTGATGCACCACATGTGAGCGCCCATTGCTTGGCTGATCCACCCAACTTACCCGTGGCAAAGCCAACACGGTACGGTTCATAGGTAATGTCGGCTATAACATGTCGACTCAACCTGTCGGAACCACAGCATAAGGTTGTCATCTTCCTTGCCGTCAAACTTAGCGACTTCCACTTGTATGGGTTTGGTCTGCGGGCCACTTCTTGCGCCATAGTCGCAATGGGCGAAGGAGCAGAAGAAGGCATTTGTGCCTTTACATTCTCGACTAGAGCTTTGTTATATTCATCAAGCATATGAATACGCTTGTTAACCTCTTCTTCGCCCTGGACGATGAGGTACTCCACGCCCTTAGGGCCAAGGGTAAGGAGCAACTTCTGCAACCCTTCCTCTTGTGCTTGTGATAGGACAACCGCTGGCATCACATCGATGTCCATTTTCACACAGAGAAGTAGTCGAAAATCCAGGTGCGGGATTGACTACAAGTGCTACCAGGTGGAGCAGAGCAACTGTAGCCAAGCTACTTATGCACTATGTGCAGAGGAAGACAAGCTCAGAGAGCTTATACGTCTTAGGGTTCTTAACCCTCCCAAGGCTAGCGTTACAAGCTTGTGCCGTTTGGTTGTGAACAACCGTGTCTCCAAGAGACTTAGTA